CGACGCTAGGACTTTAGTTGAAGAGGCAGTATAGGGGACAGGATGAGAACAATATTGGTGGTGTCAGGAATTGATAACAGCTGATAAGATATCATAAGGGCTCTTAGAAAGCGAGGGTCACCAAATTCATAACACCGGCCACAGCAACGACGAGACATTGGTTCCAAGTAATATAGGCACGCTATGAAGGAAGCGAACATTATTGGTGGTGGCAAGGAATCTGATAAGCGAGCTGCATAAGATTGCCAGGACAATTCACAGCAGAATTATAGCAACACTGGGAACTGCTCCAGCAAGTAATTCAGAGGTACTTAGGAAACATTAAAGGTGGGAGATAAATTCTGACAGTGTCCGACGAGGTGGGTGTCCGTATCTGCTCATTCTACCCGTTATGGCCAAGAATGAATGGGCGATAATTCTTAAATGAGTCACGATGTTTCCTTCAGCAAATCCCTCAGTTCAGCGGTCGAATCTTGCTATTTCGACGCTAAACGCCTCGAGTTGCCCCGGCAAAAAAGGATGTGGAGTGTGTTGCCCAGTGAGGAATGATAAGAGCCTGTGATTTCGATATTTTTACCATCGGAATCCTTTCAACCGCTATGCTGTCCGAGTTCCAACGAATGGTGATTTTAGAAATATGATATGAGCCTAACATTGGCAAGTGTTCATTAAAAGGGAGAAACATGATGAAATGGGCCGTTTTGCAAACGGAATTAGGCTAAGTGGTACTGCTTAACACAGGAATCCTGTCAAGTTTCAGTAACATAGGTTTTAACGGACCTGCGCGCAGGAAATGCGCGTCAGCCGAGACTGGTTGATTTTATACGTTGGAAAAAAAAGGAAAACAGTGAACCGAATGAAATCAGAAACACTTCACCTTTCAAAAACCATATGCTACGTCTACTCCGTCTCATAGGTCAAGAGGTAAGGAGTGTATCGCTCTGCCCAGCCAGACTCAAATGCCGGCCGTTCTACAGACGCGAGCTCCGCTTGACCATGTTAGGAAATTCTCCTGATCCCGAGCTTACCTTCTGCGTGAAGACATTCAGGTAAAGACAGTCCTCGTTCACAATCCCTCCAGCGTTTGCTTGCGGACATTTCGGTTTATAGTTGGTGGCGTCGTACACCGTGTTGTATGGATCCGCTTGACGTGGCGGCTAAAAAAATATAGAAAGACAGAAGTCAATCCACATTCGAGCGGGAAGTGCTCGCTGAGGATAGGACTGGGCAGAGCAAACATGACTCACTCGAAACCGCAAATTCCCAACTGGCGCTTGAGCATAGGGTATGCCCAGAAACACGTCCGCTTGACCGTAGTATAGTTGGTTCTTGTCGTTACCTGAACACCTTTTCTCATATAGAGAAAAATCCATAACTCAAGAACTAGTTTAGACAGCATCTGTAAACTATTTATGAAAACGGGAAAGAAATTCAGACAAGCAAATCAAACTCTCCCGAGATCGAGCATAGAAGTTTGGTCAGCTGACCAGTTCTGGATCACTGCCAACTCCGCTTCTGTCAAAATCGTTATGGCCTTGATTCTTCTTGCTCGTGCTCGCTTGAGTTTGGAGCCGCACATTTATAGTTACCTACCGTAATCTACCCTACGACCTTGTACAACTCCATATGACGTTGGCACACTGACATAACTTTGTGCATATACTGTAGTAACCGCTGATAAGAACAAAAGTAACAACATTCAGTGTATCCTGAAAATCGAACGTGATTTTTAACCATTCACTCAACGAGATTGAGGCTCGGAAAAGAAGGATGAAACAATTGAATCTCTTTTGGGATGCGCCACGCATTCTGTCCAAACTAAGCGGATTGGTGGTTGCATTGGAATAAGGTTCGACTCATTTAGACTTCCAACGGTTCGAGAATAAGGATCCTCTCAAAAGAGTTCGGTAATAGCTAGCCGATCTACAGAGCGGTGTCACTTGAGGGTTTCTTCGCGTCGTGGCTGCAACGCTCCGAAAGCGATGTTGCAAGCAGCTGTCATTCATCACGTGCGCGGCATTCAGTCCAGGATCCGATGGGTTCAGTGTGAAAGTGTCACACATGTCGGTCAAACTGTTCAGGAGATAAATAGGTTAGCTTGTGTGGGTGCGCCGGACTCCCGGGTTGCCGACCCGGACCCAAGCAGCTGTGATCGGATGATCCCTGAGGCGTCAGACGTACCCCTTGTTGATGAACCCCAACGCTCGCAAGCTTCTGTAAATACAGCAATACCCTTTTAGTTCGGTTAATTCCTGTCTCCCAAACCTTTTAAAAATACTCTTTTTTCGATATAAATATCAGTTTCGTAGATGAGAACAAGCCAAAAAACAGAATCACGGCGTTAGAGGGGCGAAGGTGCCCCGGATGGTTGTGTCGGCGTGGGAGAAGCATCTTTGCATTCTACGCCAGCTCCTTTTGTTACAGGAAGTTGAACGTCTTCACAATGAGGCCTGTCCTGGCTACGATGGGGACTATTTGGCGCCCTACCAAGCCGAACTGCACCCACGGATATGCCTTAATACTCCAGAAAGTAGTGTATTCACAGGGCTCAGCTGAAATGGAGATCAGTGTTTTATTTCCCTCCCCCTGACGAGTACCTAGTACAAATGGCAAGCCTCGGAGTGCTAGAACGAATAACAAGGCCATGAGCCCAACAGGTTGAACATTCAGACAGCCCCAAAGGTAGGAACCAACTGTAAAGGGCACTCGGGTGCATGGCAAGCTCTGCACTCGTTGTCATAATTCCTGCGCATAGGGAGCTCAGGAGTCGTAGTAATTAGTGGAGGATTTGCAGTACAATAACAGTACAATTACGGGTTACAGTCGTGCATCTCTTGCATGTTTCATGAGATCGATGAGAGAATGAGAGAATAAATTCTGACGAAAACCTTCCATGAACGAACACAACCAAGGAGTAAGCCGCCCAACGTTGGCGCATTTCTAGTAGTGACAGTATGAGCTGTGATCTCTGCGCGGCAGACGAATAACCCGGGTGTCAAAGTCAGCAGCATAACTCAAACAATGCGGCCAAGTCGCTATTCGTTGTTTGCCATCATTCATTTCAAAAACCGCCCTCGCACTAGGGATGACACTGAGGTGTCATTATGGGCACACAGATGTCACTATAGGTCATGACATATCTTCAGGGACATCATAGTCCAACCAGGGTACAGCATCCTTGTGTGAAAC